GGGCGCGCGGGCCAACGATGCGGCGCAACAGGATCGCGTGGCGCGCGACAGGGCGGCGCAAACAAACGCGCAGACCGCGTGCGCCCAGAGTAACATATATAGCGCAAGACGGGGTGGCGCAAGACAACGCCGACGTCGCGTGAGCATCATGGGCGGTAGGTTTGCTAGAGAAGCGCTTCGCGATTTTGAGTTAGGAAGAATGGGCGCAACGTGACAGCGGAGCAGGGGCGTCAGACCAGTGGGCCCGCCAAGCGACGCCGCATGATTCATGGGTGTGACATCCGCGACAAAACGACGCCCGCATCAAGGCTGCAAATGTTCTGGCAGCGCCGCCGCATGCAACGCGAGGCATAATCATAATAATCGGCGGGCCTGAAAAGGTGGCGCGGCGCGACTGCAAGGCAGGGGGGGCGAGAACGCAACGCGAGTGCGAAGCAGGACAAACGCGAGGCGCGACAGAGAAGCATAGACCGTATGTCAGTGGGATCGCCAAGCGGGGCATCGCAATTGTGATGCAGAAGCGGGCGACCGCAACGTCGCCGCATTTTCCTCCGACGCCTCGCGAACTCCGTGTCGCCCACGCGGAGTTGCCGCTATTAGTTGACACATGGCAAGGGTTATCCGCGCTCTCTTCCGGAGTTGCGGAGTTTGCCAGCGCGCGTGCATCAGCGACCTCCGCTCACCTGGGGAGGGCTGCGCAGGCCGATCCGGGTTGCTGTGCTTTCGTAAAGCAGAAGTGGATTGGTCTTCAATTGTCTGTTTACTACCGTCCGCGAGTGCTGAGGGAGTTTCGATATCACAGGCACCTTGCCCCGAAGGGTCCAGAGGCATGTGCAGCTTTGACGGGGTCGTCAAATGGCGTCCCGTGCTGCCAAGAAGCAGACCCTGAACCAGGGGAAATTCCGAATTTCAAATTGTTCCACAAGGTCCTCCTGTCGCCACTACCCTGCCACCAACTCTCTTGAGATGCTTCGTGTGCCGCACTATCAGGTCTCAGGTCCGTCTGAAGGAGCGTGGATACAACCTAGAACCTGCCTGTGCGTAATGCGAAGCGGCGAGTACTTTTCTCTACCATGGATGGAGGAAGTGTCCGGCCACAGCTTACCTTCGAGAAACGCTGATGACAGAGGCCATTCTCGATGTTATTTCCCGTCTGGATCATTTCTGGGTCCTCTCTTCTTGAGCTCCAAACGGAAACAGGTTTCTTTGTGTTGCCGCTTGCTTGACTTTGCCGCGAAGATTTTGAGGTCTGGGCCGTGTCTGGGGAGCCGCTCGCCGTCGTAATGACCAGCCAGGCTTTTGCAGACGGGCTCAGGCAGTAAATGCCTTTGCCCTGCATTCGACAGGGCAAAATGGGAGGTACTTACGTAAGACTCCAAGGGCAACTGCGTTGCACATATGTGCGGACGAGTTGGATCCCACTTGCTTTGCGTCTGGCGTCTCCCGCCGTTAAACATGTAGCTATCGCTGCCGCTGCTTTTCGCTTGCCAGGTTGTGCCGAATTTGCGTCGGATTCTTTTGGGGTGATGGCTATGTTCGCCCAGATCAAAGAACGTACTTCGCATCGTGAGTCCATTAATACAGGTTTCAAGCGTTTGATTCCAGACAAGGCCACCTCGACCCTCATGATTTCCAGATCAATTCAGAGTTTGAGTTTCGTGCTTCGGGGAGCAATCTGTCGGCGGACGATGCCACAAGGATGGGCGCGAATCTTCACGTCGTCCCCATTATGCGCGAGACGGAGTTGGAACGCCAGATCTACGGCCGTGCTGGTCTACTTGTATTTTGTTGCTCCCTTTCATCCTTGGCTCGCAGGTGGAGGGGGCTAATTTAATGAAGGCTTATCGGATCGCGCCCCTTCTCGCGTAGTCGCACGCCTCACAAAACTACAGGCGCACATCGTGTGTGCATTTTCTGGGGTCGTCCAGACCATGCAGCCACGTTCTTCTTAATATGGCCAGGGCTTTTTTTTAACGTTTTTAATTCGGCGTTTTTAGGTCCCAACAAGAAATACAACTCGCAACACAGCGATTGTTTTTTCTTCGCTTTTGGCTCTGTTTCTTCTTGGTAAGACAAAAGGTTCCAGATCATATGGTTATATTTTGCAACCTTGCCATCTACGACGTCCTCAGTTTCTTCTCCTGGCGTGCAGTCCTCAGCAGGCCTGGACAGCTGTCCGATGTGGTGGTTCGTTCGTTCGTTCGTTCGTGCGTCCTCAGGTTCTTCTCCTGGCGTGCGGTCCTCAGCCCTCCGGTTCTCTCAGTCCGACTGCTCGCCGTCCTCGGAGCTCCTCCTGGGGCGCCGGGCTTCCGTGCCCGACGGCCGATTGCCCTTCTTGGGGCCGTCGGGCCTCCGGGCCTGTCTCGGGCCGGTGTCTGGCCAGTGTTCGGGCGTTGCTTAGTTTTTTCCCAGCCGTCCTGTGGTGTGGGGTCTTCGTTTTGAAGAGACAACGCCCGCGTGCTCTTTCCTTCTCCTCCCGCTGCATCCCTTCCTCCGCCTCCTTGCCTCTGCCCTCCGCATGTCTCTCTGTCGGCGCACCCCTCACACGTTTCGTGGCCCCATCGGGAGCTCCAACTACGGTCCCAGTGGCGGAACTCGCATGCGGTACCCGCCTCCATTTCGGCACACCCCTCACGCGTTTCGTGGCCCCATAGGGGGCTCCACCTAAGGTCCGACTGGCGGAACTCGCATGGCGGCCCCGCCCCATTTGGGTACATCCCCTCACACGTTCCGTGGCCGCATAGGGGGCTCCACCTATGGTCCCAGCGGCGGAACTCGCATGGCGGCCCCGCCCTATTTTGGTACACCCCTCACCCGTTCCGTGGCCCCATAGGGGGCTCCACCTATGGTCCGAGTGGCGGAACTCGCATGGCGGCCCCGCCCCATTGTGGTACATCCCTCACACGGTTCGTGGCCTCATAGGGAGCTCCACCTATAGTCCCAGTGGCGGAACTCGCATGGCGGCCCCGCCCCATTTTGGTACACCCCTCACACGTTCCGTGGCCGCATAGGGGGCTCCACCTATGGTCCCAGCGGCGGAACTCGCATGGCGGCCCCGCCCTATTTTGGTACACCCCTCACACGTTCCGTGGCCCCATAGGGGGCTCCATCTATGGTCCGAGTGGCGGAACTCGCATGGCGGCCCCGCCCCATTGTGGTACATCCCTCACACGGTTCGTGGCCTCATAGGGAGCTCCACCTATAGTCCCAGTGGCGGAACTCGCATGGCGGCCCCGCCCCATTTTGGTACACCCCTCACACGTTCCGTGGCCCCATAAGGGGGCTCCACCTATGGTCCCGGCGGAACTCGCATGGCGGCCCCGCCCCAGTTTGGTACACCCCTCACACGGTTCGTGGCCCTCCACCTAGGTTCTCAGTGGCGGAACTCGCACGGCGGCCCCGCGCCATTTTGGTACACCCCTCACACGTTTCGTGACCCCCATTAGGAGCTCCACCGAAGGTCCCAGTGGCGGAACTCGCATGGCGGCCCCGCGCCATTTTGGCACACCCCTCACACGGTTCGTGGCCCCATAGGGAGCTCCACCGAAGGCCCCAGTGGCAGGGTTCGCATGGCGGCCCCGCCCCATTTTGGCGCACCCCTCACACGGTTCGTGGTCCCATAGGAAGCTCTCCACCGAAGGTCCCAGTGGCGGAACTCGCATTGCGGCCCCGGGCCATTTCGGCACCCCTCTCGCACGTTTCGTGGCCCCATAAGGGGGCTCCACCGAAGGCCCCAGTGACAGGGTTCGCATGGCGGCCCCGCCCCATTTTGGCGCACCCCTCACACGGTTCGTGGGCCCATATGGAGCTCCACCGAAGCCCCCAGTTGCGGAACTCGCATGGCTGCCTCGGGCGACTTCGGCACACCCCTCACGGGGTTCGTGGCCGAGCTCCAGCGAAGGCGCCAGTGGCAGGGTTCGCATGGCGGCCTCGGGGCATTTCGGCACACGCCTCACGAGGGTTACGGCCCCATAGGGAGCTCCACCGAAGGCGCCAGTGGCAGGGTTCGCATGGCGGCCTCGGGTTATTTCGGCACACCCCATCACGAGGATCGTGGCCCCATAGGGAGCTCCACCGAAGGCCCCAGCGGCAGGGTTCGCCTAGCGGCTTCGGGCCATTTCGGCACACCCCTCACGAGGATCGTGGCCCCATAGGAGCTCCACCGAAGGCGCCAGTGGCAGCTTCCCTCATGGCTCTCAGAGCCCTCTCCTGCTTCTGCTCCTCGGTCAGGGGGACGCCGTCCTCGTCGTCGTCGGCGCCCGCGAAGACGGCCGCCAACGTGTCCCTGAGCATGTCGGGCTCCGGCGGGAAACCGTGGCCACATAGGGAGCGTGGGCGAAGATGGTATTCAACATTGCGTGTGGTTTGGTTTTTGGCCAGGCTCATTTTTTGGGTTTCGCACGGGGAACGGCTGCAGAAACGACAAGTGGGAGTGAAGATAGCAGGGAAGACGATGAACAGCCTGCGACAAGAAAGTCAAACAATAGCAAAACATGATGATCCACAGCGACGGGCCTGAAAACAGTAGATGGCCGAGCTAGACAAGCAAACAACATGTTGCAGGCGTTTTCCGCTTGTCAAGAACCCACAGTGCAAAACGATAAACAACGCCCAGGGTGTCTTTAAGAAGAGCCAAGCCATTCAGGTGTCCAATGTACAGAAAGTTTGCCCTATTCGCTGGCCTCCGGTGTCACAATGTGCCGCATCCACCATCATTTTTGTTGTCGTAGTTGCTTTTTCCATTCGTCGAATTTGAGCTGTGTCAGGCACACGTTTGCTGGTCTGTTCGGGACACACCACATGGCGTCGAGGAATGCGGAGTGGCGTCGTTATCGTGGTCATGTCTGTTGTCGTTGTTGTTGCTACTGCTATCACGCGACGTTTGGCTGTTGAGGGTACTTGATTGCGTCGACACGGCGACGTTTGTCGTGCACCGTGGGGTGCGCGCCATCACGAAAATTAGATTTGGGATGCAGTTCCTCCAAATGGCTGCCCTGCAG